TGTATTTATTGATAATTTATTTTAAATTTAATATTTAATTTATTAATAATTAAGATAAATAAAAAGTAAATTAGATAAAAAAAATTAAAAAAAATTAAAATCCTTTTATCAAATGATTAATTGATTATATATCACCCTTTTTACATAAATTTAATGAATTATTTATATATATTTATAAATATTATGTTATTAAATAATATGTTATTTAAGTAGTTACAAATTGTAAGCTAACATTAAAACTTAATTATTAAGAAAAAATAATATGTTATTTAAGTAGTTACAAATTGTAAGTTAACATTAAAACTTAACTATTAAGAAGTGTTAAATTAACATTAGAATTGTAATTTTGTATTTTATAAGTTTTAAAGTTAAATGTTTTTATTTTAAAATAAAGGAATAAAAATTGTAAATTTGACAAAGGTAATTAATCAAAATAATAATTAAGCCTTTATTTTTATTATTTTTTATTTTTTATAATCATCTATAAAGTCTAATTGATCATTTTAGTGGGATTTCACATTTCAACATTGTCTTCTTTTTCTTTGCTCGGACGAACTTAGATCATATTTAAGATGTTTGAGTTTAATTTCACTCATAAATTATTGATATAAAAAATAAGCATTGTTGTAAATGGTCGCGCATTTGATGAAAAATATAAAATGTAATATTTATTAGGTTTAATACATTATTTATTTCCTAAACATTTTGACAAATTTTTAATTAGATCCCTAAATTAAAAAATTCTAATTATACCATTCATATTTTATATTCTGTAATTCAGTCTTTCGAGTTACAAGTTTCTTTATAATTTATGCTATTTAATAAAATATTCTTTGTCTCCAAATATGAATAATCACAACAGATTAATATTCCATATTATACATTACATTTTAATTCCTACCTGCAAAATTCCTGTAATCCTCTTAGAAGAGTATTTTAATGACTAGATATAAAAATATAAAGATTATCATGTCTAATTTAACAAATTATAAACAAATTTTTATCTGTAGAGATTAAATTATAAAAAAATATATAAAAAAAAGAATGATCTAATTACACAATTTTTTTAGTTAAGGAACTAAATTAACTTATTTAAAAAAAATCGAAAGCCATGTAAAATATAGAGATGTGATGAATTTATGTATTCACATGCCAAGTAACCTTCCTCTAGCAACCTCAGTAATTTTTGTTTTTCGGCACAAGTCAATCCTAACTTCTATCTCTATGCTCCTAGCGGTTGCCCTTTCTTATCACCACATCATCAACATGAAGCACATAAATTACCATTCTTTATAATGTTTACATTTTACAATAACAACAATCATGTATTCATCTTGAAGAGCCATTGATAGTGTATACTTTTAGTCAGGGTTCAATTGTTCGTGCAAGTATGACCAAAATAAGAAAAGGAAGAAAAGCAGAAAATGTTCTGAACTGTCTCTGGTGGAATTCTCAAATGATAAACTATATTGTTGTCTTTGTTTGCATCCATTTGCGCAAATCATTGTAGCATATGCTAAATTTATCTCTTTGAGTGGCTTATTTGGTTCTTTTACTCTTTGATGACAGTTCTGTCCTTTATTGCATGTAATTAACATTTCCAGTTAGTGCAACAATTGTTGATTTGCTCGTGTTGTAGCACTAAGAGTTTGCTTGCTTGTAAACTGAAATAAATTTTTAAGCACAACCTTGTATCATATGACCCTCCAGAGAGCCAAATTATCAATTTCCTATTGAAATTATGTTCAGTATGTGTTATCTAATTACTCTGATAATTTGTCAGTTGCAGCAAAGGTAAACTATACTACCCACTACGTGAATCAATACTGATGTTTGATTATTTTAGTACAATCGTCCTTTTTAGTCACATTTTTTCCATTCACAAAGTCTCTCAAATCTAAAAAAAAATTAAGTTTATTACTTTGATCCAACAACTTGTTATTTTATTAAAGCTATTTGAACTAACAACTCATTATCTTGCTAGCATTATAAAAAAAAAAGTAAGAGTGAATTATTCTCTCTCTTTAATATTGAGTTTGATTTATATAAAAAATATAAAAAAAATAATTTAAATTTTCAATTTCAAATTTCTAACATATTGTTCAAATATAAAAAGATATTAAATATTTTTAAGATATTGTTAAAAATTAAAAATATTATATTTATTTTAAATTTTTTTATTATTTTAAGATTAGGATTTAAGTTAATAAATAGAGTCTCTTGTCATAACAAGAATCACCCCAACTAAAGGGGTAATATGAAGGAAATAAGAGTTTCTAAGTTTTATCCGTAAAATTTATGAGAAAAGGATTTTTAAGTTTCACTTATAAAACTTGTGAGAAGAGATTTTCAAATTTCACCTACAAAATATGAATGAGAGGATTTTCAGTAACATATATGTAATGTATTTTAAGATAATGAACATCTTGTGATGTAAAATCATATTTTCTATGTTCTTTCTTTAAATTTATAACGCTTTGGTGTGTACTTTCATCATTATTACGTGTAAAAGAGTTTTTTTTAGTTCTTACCAGTGTAATATCAAAGTTCATAATTTGTACAGTCTAGTGGTCTCTTACTTGAGTATTGAAAATTGACATACTACAAATGCAATATTTATAGAATGGAGAAAAGAAACATTGAAGAGTAAAAGTATGGAGATGATTGTGACTAAGATTTATGACAACAAAAAAATCAAGTTTAAAAATTCTAATTAAGGAATAAATTGTTGAAAAAATAATTCAAAATTTCAATTTTTTAAATCTTTAAGATATTGCTTAAACATAAAAATGTATTATTTATATTTGAGATATTGTTTAAAATTAAAAATATTACATTTATTTTAAAAATTTGTTTTAAAAAATTCTCCCTCGACATATAAAAGAGTCAAATGAAATAAGGTTTATTAAATTTCGCCAAAAAAACTTATATTGAAAGTATCTAAATTTTACCTAAAAAAAAAAAAGATTTTCAAGAATTTGTAAATTTGATATGATTTTTTTAATTTTATATTTTCTTTTTGTGTTCTCTTATTGCATTAAAAAGAGAGAGAGTTTTTTTTTCTTTTCTCACCAATAAATAAATTCTAAAAAGATAACTTACCCCTCCCTTCCCTTAAATTAACTCACGGAGCAACAGTCCCAAGAATTTGTGACTATTCTATTTGTAAATCTTATTTATTATTGTTAGCATGGCATTTTTGTATACATCTATATTATTCATGAAATTTATAATTTACAATTCCATAGCAGAGGACGTATTGCTCTCTCGTGATTTTATTAAATAATAACAAAATTTAAGAACATCAATAGAAAGACCCAAAATTCATTTCGTATTTTTCCTTATAACTAAAAATGGAAAACCTAGAAATCACAATTCGAACATTAAATTATTATTTTGAAAAGTTAAAACAAATACATGAAAAAAATTGAAAATGTTATTTTTTATTTCAATAGTCAAAACCGTAAGAAAGGCCCTTTAAATAGGAAAGCTACGAGTGAAGTAATTGAAACTGATGTAAATGTAATAACTTGTTTTAGAAGTAAAAGCAAAGGGCATTTGGATCCACCATTATCCTTCGTTGGTTCCATTTCTGATTTCTGATAATAGCAAACCCAACATGGATTCGGATCCATTGGCTAGTTGCCCCTTCTGCGATTCACATGTACCCTTATCTCAACTCACTTGGTATGTCTCTCTCTCTCTATAAATAATATACATGCATGATACATGTTTGTTTCTTTGCATTTGAATATGATTCTGCAAACCAAACGCAGGCACGCCAACACTCACTTTTCGGATCTCGATGACATTGATTTCGACCTGTCCCCAGTAATTCACCCCGCTCCCGATTCACCCCCTCGATCTCTTCCGGTGCCATCTCCTTTCTTTCTCATTATAAGAGCTTTTGTATGTGATTTTCAATGTAAATGTTTCCTGCATGGGCATCAAATTTTGTTCGTTGAAACTGAACAGTATTTACTATCTACAACAATTTCTGCTAAGAAAATACTAAAGGTCCACCCCATTTTGGAGTGGAACAGAAAGAGATAGAAGAAAAGTGAAAAGTTGGAGAGAGAAAGAAATAAATGCGATAATAGGTAAGGAAGAGAGAGAGATAGAAAGAATGAGGTGAAAATGAGATGAAAGAGTAAATAAGTGTATCTTTATAATAACCTGATCGGGTAAATACTAACTCGTGTGTGAATCTTCTGCAATGTTTTTTTTTCAGAGAAAAAAAATGAGTTATGTCATTTAATCACAAACCATCATATATTATATGTAGTAAGTTTGTTGACTTTGATGATAATTATCATAAAAGTCACACCAAACTTGATTTTTAATTGGTTGATAGTGTAATCTGATGATGTATATTCGTTGAACTCATGTTTTTTTTTTTTTTCCATCATTTCCTTTTACTTTTATCCCTTTTGTTAAACTACAAATTTTCAAGTGTAAATAATTTACTATGGTCTAAAATAGAGGATTATTTCTGCTTGTCTTAATAAGAGATGTATAAGCTATTCAATATGTTGGCTTATATCATATTTTGCAGAGAGAGCATGCAGCCAATAGCTCAAGGTCTGGAGCAAACTCTTCGTGTGGTGGTGAAGCTAGTAGTGATACTGGCGAATGCAAAGTGAATGACAAAATCTCTTTCTTGATTGATTCTCAGACAAGGAGCAAATTTTATAAAGTTGAAGCGGGTTTGATGGCCTTGTTGAGAAACTGTTTAGAGTCTGAAGTCGGCAATTCAAATAGTATTTTGTCAGGGTATGTTGATCATTTCCAGTGCCTTGAGTCTGAGGATGCTGGATGGGGATGTGGCTGGCGTAATATTCAAATGCTTAGTTCTCACTTACTAGTGCAAAGACCAGAAGCAAGGAAAGCTTTGTTTGGTGGTTCAGGATTTGTTCCTGATATCCTGTCGCTCCAGAGATGGCTTGAGATTGCTTGGGAAAAGGGTTTTGATGCACCTGGATCTGCTCAATTCAATCATGTTATTTGTGGTTCAAAAAAATGGATAGGAACTACTGAGTGTGCTGCTCTTTTGCGGTCCTTTGCTCTCCGGGCAAGAGTAGTGGATTTTGGTCCTAAGGAATCCCAATCTGTCCCTGGTTCAAGCATTGATAACACCAGGAATAAAGCAAGTATTCATAATAGGGTAAAACGAAAAGCTAAAAACGGCGACGGTTATCAAGTTCTCATGGATTTTGTGTGGAATTACTTTTCTGATAAAAGCTCAATCCAATTTGGCCAACAACATGTTGTGATCAGTGAGAAAACGTGAGTGAGGGCATATTTTAGATACAATTTTTTTAGCTCAATCCAATTTGTTTCTTTTAGTGTTTTTAATTTTTGAATGCTTGCTTGGATAGGCCTTTATACTTTCAACATGATGGTCACTCAAGAACAATAGTTGGAATTCAAGTCAACCATCAACAAAAAAGACATCTGCAATATAATCTCCTAGTTTTGGACCCTGCTCATGTAATTTATCTACATTGCTAGCTTCATATTTTATTATGAATATCTATTTTCATGATTGTCATATAGATGATTTGGGTAATTGCATATCATACAATTATCATTTTAGCTCTATCATTGTCAAGAAACTGTAGGTATGTTGTGAAATTGACATTAGTCAGAGAGGTCTTCTCATAATAAGGACTACTTTTAAAAGATATTATTTTTAGGGATCCAAGAGATATGGTCTTTCCAAGATTCAAGTAAATAAGGCGATTCAAAATTCATGCAATATAAACAAGGAAGTCAGAGCTTTTACTTAACATTCTTTTTGTTGTGGACATATGTAAAATGTCAAGAACAAAAGAAAAGATCTAAGGCAGAGAAAGTCATGAAATGCAGATAGATTGCTTATATTGAATTTTGTGTTCTTATTATTGTATGAAGTCAGTTAGAATCCACAAATTAATGAAGAACCTTGCTCCCATTCACCTTCATTCTTTGCTTTTACAAATTAAAGTGAAAGTCGATATTTGTTTTCTTTAATGTCTTTATCATTATTATTGAAATTATTGAATGCAACTGAACTAGTCTAGAGTTTTGCCTTCCGTTGATCTTTAGCTGTTTTCTTATCAAGTATTCTTCAACTTGTTGAAAGAGAATAGTACATTAATTTTGATTGGCACCAGGGCCAAAATAAAAGCAAAGTATATCAGAATTAGGACGCATATATGATAATCATCACTTCTATTTATGCTTTGTCTGGTTGTATTATTTGGACTAATATGAGTTGTGTAAGTCAACTTTTCTTTTTAAATAGTTGGAGATATTTATCTTCTCTCTGTTTAACACATTAAAATGGTGTTCTGGAAGATGCATGTTTTGTAATGATTATGCATGCTTTTGAGTCTCAAATGTTGTTATTTATTACTATAGAGTACGGTGGCTCTGGAAGGATCACTAAGGCAGAAAGTTGGATGGGAGAAACTTGTTAAAAGGGGAATGCATACACTAAAGAAGCCACAATATCAGGTCTTACTTTTAACAAAAAATTGCATTGCATTGCACCAATAAATGAATTAGGATTTATGGTCTTGTTTCTATTTCAGTTGTGTTATGTTGATCCTGGAATTGCCAGTGAGGAGGAGATGGGAAAACTCAAGACAATTCACAGCGTCTTCCTTGAATTTTAAACAAGCAAATAAAGCACTTTGCTACATCCAGGCACTATCTTCTAGTTCAGGTCATTGAAATATTTTTCTTGGCATTCATTCTGACTAATTTTATTACACCGAAGAAATTCAAGAGAAACCTAGTTTTGTGAATTGATACAACATACATTTTCATAGTTACAGATATGAAATCTGTATAAAACTGTCACTTATAAACCTATGAAGTTTCCTCAAAGCTCTGTAACCTGAATAACCTTGAATAAACTCCTGCTTCTTTTGTTATTAGGGTTGTGTGGGAGCCCATCTCTACAACTTTACCTTTATCCAGGACAATTATAGTATCTGAGTTTATTACTGTGGAAAGCCTATGAGCTACCGTGATCTGGGTGGTTCTTGAACACAAGCCACTGTCTTCCTTCAGATGTATTGCTTTTAAAGCATTTACTATAATTCTTTCAGACTCAGCATCAAGAGCACTTGTTGCTTCATCAAGGAGTAATATTGCAGGCTTCTTTAGTAAGGTTCTGGCAATGGCTATTCTTTGCTTTTGTCCTCCAGAAAGCTGGCAACCTTTCTCGCCAACTACAGTATTATATCCATTTGGTAGATTACTTACAAATTCATGTATATTTGCTTCTTTAGCAACCTCCACTATTTCACTTTCAGAAGCCCCATTATTCCCATAGCAAATATTGTCTCTGATTGAGCAATTAAAAAGCAGTGGCTCTTGTTGTACCAGTCCTATTTGTGTCCTTAACCATCTTAGATTATATTTCTGTATGTCTTTGCCATCAATTAATACCTTTCCTGCCTGTGGATCATAAAATCTTAGTAAAAGGGCCAAAACAGAGGATTTTCCTGCTCCACTTGGTCCTACAAAAGCCACCTTCAATCCAGCTTCAATTTGTAAACTGAAATTGTCAAGAACAGTGACTGCCGGTCTTGAAGGGTATTTGAATTTTACATTTTCAAATTCTATATTTCCTTGGATCCTCTCAGGTTGGGAATCATCTGGTGTGTCTGGTTCAATTTCAGTTTTACGGTCAAGGGTTTTGAAAGCTGGAGTTAGCGTATAGATTGCAGACATGACAGTTGGGATCAGTGTGTACAATTCTGTGATAGAAGGAACAGTGAGAGAAAAAATTTGGTATGATCTTATTCCATTTTCAAAGGTGGCTTGACGTCTGTCAATCAGAGTTTTTGTGTACCATAAAGCAACAGCATGTGCAATGTTCCACAAGCAAAGGGAGAAGCCTTGAATGATCCCATATTTGATGCTTTCTTTTCTATAATTTTTCTTTTGAATTTCCAGGGATGTTTTGGCTTTCCTCAGTACTTGTTCTTCATGACAAAACGATGCAATAGTCTTTATGTTGGTTGTGGACTCAGATGCAAGAGCAACAAGCTCAGAATGTGCAGCAGAGTGGTCACCTGAAAATCCTTTGGCAGACTTGGCTTGAATGAGACCACCTATGAAGTGGCAGGGCGTCACAGCCCAAGCTACCAAACTCATTCTCCAGTTGACTTTCATGCTGACGACTGTTGCTATTAGTATGGAGGAAACACATTGCAGAATTACAGACATTCGATCAGCAATGATAACTTTGACCATGGCAGTGTCACTGATAATGCGTGAAGTCAATGAACCAGCTGTATTCTCTGATTTGTCAAACCAGCCTACTTCATTACGCAGCACACCTATAAAGGTTTAAAGGATTATTGACTGCTGTTTGTTAAATCATGCTGGAGATTTATGTATGTGATGCATCATTTTAGGCTTTTTAGCTCATGTGTCAGTTATTTTTTTTTTTTCCTTTTTTTTTTCCAGGAAAGAGAAATAACATGGATTTATGGAAATTGGGATAGGGGATATCTGATACCTGTATACAGAACACGTCTGAAATTTGCCATGGCCTTTTCTCCAACCTCTCCAAAGAAGAAATGTTGGAAGGTGTGGCTAAATAATGAAAGCAACCCTATTGCTGTAAAGATGGCTGAATAATGTCCAACTTTTCGTTTTGCATCTTCTTCAAAGTATGCTACTCCAATGGTGATGATGAAGTACCCAAAAAATGGCTTTGAGATGCCAGAGAAAGCTGCTGCAAATGAGCCAATAGCAATCTTCACCAGCTCCCTCTTTTTTAAGCCAAACCAAATTCTGAAAAATATATTTCTTCCTCTGCTGCTCATTTGGCTCTGTTCCTTTAGCACAGAATGCTCAGTGATATTTCTTTGGACCTGCACCTCTACTAGTGGTTGTCTAGTTTCTTCAGGAAAATCTTCTTGGCGGACACTTCTATTCTTGGAAATTGTAGCTCTACCCATTTAACATTTAAAGCTGGTTAGAGTTCTTCCTCCATACCATTAGGTCCTTGATATATTCAAAGAAGGAACATTAAATGGTTAATTACCTGGATTCAGGAACTGGTTCAATGTTCTGCATGCTGAATAATGTACTATAGAATCTGCTTGTGTCTAACAAACTCTGGTGTGTTCCTGTCTCTGCAACTTGTCCATTCTCTACCACCACAATTATATCTGCATTTACAACTGTTGACAGCCTGTGTGCAATCAAGATGACAGTCCTTCCCTGCATAGCTGTCTCAAGTGCTTCTTGAACTAGCTTTTCAGACTCTGAATCAAGGGCACTAGTGGCCTCATCAAGCAAAAGGATAGGAGGATTTTTAAGAACAGCTCTTGCTATTGCAATTCTCTGTTTTTGGCCTCCTGATAATTGGACGCCCCTTTCTCCTACCTGGCAATCATCATGGCTGACATATGAGTCCATAAATGTTATAATGAGTGGATGGAATATATGCAGCCAGCAGACATGTTTTAAAATGCGTCAACTTATCCCCATCCGTGACAGGTCAGCTGAAAGCCTGAAAATGGGGCTGGTCGGATTAACTTGCTTTTATTTGGTGGCTTGGAAAGACTGTGCAACCCATTTTATGGTGGGTTAGCAGGTTAGAAGATCAACCCACACAATCTTTTGTTAATATGAATAGAATGCAGAATGCACGATTTATGGGGATTGTCTTATGAAGCTTTGTATAGATGTTAGTGAAATTAATTTTGAGAGTCGGTTTATGAAGAATTGATGTTTTTGATTTGTATTTAGGAATGGTATTTTCTAAGTGAATTGCAGAATAGATTTTGTTTGGACGGTAATTTAGAATCACTTTTGAAATAATGTAAATGCTATTAAAAATTTAGTGGGCCTGTTGCTCATAATATTCACCTTTAAACCTAATTTTTTTTCTTCTCTCTGAATTAATTCTACGGAGTAGAATTGATTGTACCCTGACAAGTTGATTACTATTGGAACCAATTTTGTTATCAATTTTTAGTTTAAATTCAATTATATTGGCTTCCCCTAATTGCCCTAAGGCTAAACTCAACTACAATTGGCATCCCTCTTGTTTTTAAAAGTTACACAACTCCCTTGAGATTCAATTATTATTACACTTTAAGGGAGATTAATCAAATCTTAGGAGAGATTAGTATAATTTTCCCCCAAGTTAAAAGTGTAGAAGCATCCTCAATTTTAAGACAACGGCTAAAATTAAAAATTGAGATTTTCATTTTGCCAAGACCCGAAATTGAAAGGAATTCTGATCCGAATCGTAAGGGTAACCTTGAGATTTTCACTTTTTTTTTCCCGGTCTCATTTTGGGCCTATTTGGATAAAGTTTTATAGGAGAGGATAAATAAGAAAAGTTTAAATAAACTATTCTATTAGTTAAAACCAGTTTATACATTAGTTAGAAAAAAAAGTTTTCTGAAAAAGCTAATACAAGAGTTTCTATAAATTAGTTTAACATAAACTAGTTTTATTTATGGAGAAAACTTATTATTATTTTTTCTTTCTATTTTTCTCTCTTAAAAGTACTTTTAGAGAAATCTATCCAATCAGTTATTTTATATCTATGTTATTTGTTGTCCTCCTTTCTTCAATATTTATAATCATATGGCCTTAAATAAGGAAAAGGTGCAAAATATGATTAATGTATGCAAATCTTGCTAATTGAATAAAGGAAAATCAAACAAGACATAACTAAGCTAATAAAGTGATATACTAGATTAAGTAGCTTACCTCTGTTAGGTACTGATTAGGCAGCTGTGATATGAAAGAGGGTGCATTTGACATTACTGTTGCCTTCTGAATCTCTTGATCATCTGCATCCATTTTTCCCACTTTCAAGTTATCCTTGATGGTGCCTGCAAAGAGCAATGGTTCTTGGGTAACAGCCCCTATATTTCTTCGAAGGAACTTCAGATCAAGATCCTTGATATTGTGATGATCAATAAAAATTCCTCCTGGATTATGTTAAACAATGTCAATCTTGGCAAGTTTGATTTGCATACAATTTCGCACATTCAATTCCTACAATACAATTGTCAGTGCGAAGTCTAACCATACTATCAACTAATTTTGTACTTATACCTCGTTTATTATGATTATATGCAACTACATGAGATGTCAAACTCATTAACTTGTATAGTCACAGCCTCGCAGGTTTGTCCAATCACCAGAGGCCTGCCTCTAATGGACCTCTCATGCACCTTCTTTTGTCTTGTGTAACATCCACACCCTGCCTTCAGCTTGCATGTGGCAACGGGTATGACCTTTATTTGGCCCAAACCAAAACAGCAACTACTCACTAGTATTTTCTCACATAATCAAACTTTAGACTATTTGGTAGAAGAAACTCTAATACTATGTTATGACAGGGGAGTCCTCATTATACAAGGATTCGCTTTGCGGGTTCTCAGGAGAGTCCCTTCAATGTGGTTCAGCTTTTTAAGGGTAGTACAGAATACAAATAACTTAGGCCTACTGTTTGCAATTATTCCTCATGATGTTATTTCTCATCTGTGAATAAATGAAATTCTTTTCCTTTCAGGAAAAAAAGAAGATGTACCTGTATTTAACATATTTTTTCTTGCTTTTATTTTGTTTACCGGTAAAAAGATAAGCAAGTCAACATTAATCATGTGATAAAATACAGAAATAAAAGGAGATGGTGAAATATTATTAAAACTAACCTCTGGAGGGGTCATAAAATCTGCTAACCAGTGAAATAACAGTGCTCTTTCCACAGCCACTGCTACCAACTAATGCTACTGTCTTTCCTGCTGGAATTGTCAAGGACAGTCCTTGAAGGATTGGTTTCTCTGGCCGTGATGGGTAGGAAAAGTGAACATCTCGTAAGTCAATGTCACCTTTAATTTTTCTAGGCATCTTCCCTTCTGATTCATTACTTATTAGAGGCTTTCTTTGGATCACTTGGAAAACTTCATACCCTGCAGCTTTTGCCTGATTGAATATTTGCAAGTCTGGTGCTGCATAAGTGAGAGATCTGCAATTCACAAGGGGAGTTTGGTTACTTGATTATTTATTGATTCGTAACCATTTTGTCCATCTAAACAAGCCTGAAAGTAGTTTCTCCTTACATGGCACCAAAGAGAATACTCATCACTGCAGCTATTATGTCTCCTCCTGTTGCTCTTCCGGCTCTGACCACAACAGCTCCAACCCATACAATGAGAGCCCAAGAACAGAAGCTCACTGTTTGAAACATCCCTGTCCCAACTCCTTTCACAAGTGCCTCCCCTTTGCTTATAATGTATTGTTTTTCCATGTTCTCTGTAAAAGATTTGATTGCAGAACTCTCTCCAACAAAAGCATAAACTGTTTTTATATGTGATATTGTCTGCAATATCAATCAAAGCTTCTTAAAATAAAATGAAATGTAAGTTGATTAATTTAAGTTTCATGGTGCACGTTTATGTTGCACGAAGAGTAGAAGCACTATTGTTATTGAAATGAAGACTAGACTTGTATTTATGTAAATGTAAGGATAAACTATTAATTCGGTTACTTTGTCCCCATTTTAAGTTTTAGTCCATATACGAGAAAACGATAAGTTTTATCCCTGCACATGCATAAAAATTAAGTTTTGATCCTTATAGCTAACACCAAAGAACATTTTCTTGGTTACTTTGTCCCCATTTTAAGTTTTAGTCCATATACGAGAAAACGATAAGTTTTATCCCTGCACATGCATAAAAATTAAGTTTTGATCCTTATAGCTAACACCAAAGAACATTTTCTTGGTTACTTTGTCCCCATTTTAAGTTTTAGTCCATATACGAAAAAACATTAAGTTTTAATCCCTGCGCTTACACAAAAATTAAGTTTTGATCCTTGTAGCTAACACCAAAGAACATTTTCATTTGGTGTAAAACTGCTACAACAACTTTTTGGTGGTGATAAACTGCTACCAAAAAAAAAAAACTGAGTAGAGACTAAAACTTTCTGTTTTCTCATCTTAGAACTAAAACTTAAAACATGGGCAACTATAGGAATCAAATGAATAGTTTAACCAAAATGTAATTGTGTATACATATACCTGCTCTATCATAGATGTCGCTTCAGAATGGAAAAGCATTTTGGTGGTTGAAATGCTGTTCATTTTCTTTGTGTAAGTTGCCCCAATTATAAGAATAATCGGGACAACCACTAAACAGAGAAGTGCCACTTCCCAAGAGCATATGGTGGCAATCACAATTCCAGCAAAGAAAGTTGCACAGCTAGAGGTGAAGTGACCCAACTGTGAGTAAGAAAATTCACATGGGGTTCAGTCCTAAAATGCTGTGAGGGAAGAAAAAGGGAGAAAGGTGAAACTTGTGACCATTATTGATTTTCTGACCTTCTCACCAATGGCATCTTGTATGACACTCATGTGCTTGCTTATTCCACTGATGACTTTTCCACTTGTTAATTCTGTATCAAAAGCTCCTATCTCTTGGTTGAGGACTGCCCTTAGATATGCTAATCTTAGCCTCATTAACTGTCTTTCACTTGTATACATCCAACAACCAATCTCTGCTCAAGTTTAAACTTTATCAGGAAGATAAATGCAGCTGGTTCAATTGCAAATGTACCATTTTTCTAAAATGTAGTATATGAATAAATAAATTAACAGTATTGATAATTCCATTGAATGAAGAACAAAAAAGGTGTAAATATTAAGATTCATTACGCCTGTTTATGAGAAATGCACCTCGTTTGTGATGCCTTACTTTCAACATATTCCTTTGTATTTTATTGAATTCATGTGGAGTCTGTCAAATTAGGTGTATTTCTGTTTCAATTTAATACGTCATACTTCTAAATAGTACATCTCATAAATTTCAACTAATATTCTTATTGAAAAAAATATTACGTTCGAGTGTGTTAGCATTTTTTAAAAACTGTTTTCTGATTTTAAAAGCATGAAAAAAAAATAGTGTGATAATTTTCTATTTTTTAAAAAGTAATATATATTTAATTTTCAAAATTTTAAAAAGATCAGAACATCTTTATGTTTTTTTTTTATTTCTACTTTTAGTTTTCTTTCTTCTTGTACTATTCCATATTCTT